TGCATGCAATGGCAAAAGACTAGAATGTAAAGAGCTATCTCATTCTCTATACGTGGATCGAAGGGTGTCTGTCCACTCACTGCTTGACCATAAAGTTGCTCTTCTTATCTTTTAATCCCAACAGAACATAAGGCAAACTAACTTCCTTTCAAAATATATTTATTAAAATTCTTCCTGTAGTACATAATTAAAACAGTGACACAAAAAATTACATTTTACATGTTAATTGAAACATATCTAAAAGCTCTCTAGTTCACCACACAACAGATAGCTCTATAGGGAGAGACAACACAAAACACAGAGCTCATTGTGGCTTCCAGCACTTTAATGAGTCTCCTGAGGAATCTGGTGTTGTGTCCCTGTTACTTTGCAATCTGGCAAGTTGCCTGAAGAAATGATTAGCAGAAGCAGAAAGAAAATTTACTCCAAGTTTTAATGGATCCCAGAGTGAGATGCAAGACTGGAAGCTAAGTCAGACAATATATACCCATTGGAGCTCATTAGTTCAGAAACTCATGGGTTTTGATTATAGACAGAGAATAGAAAGTTCTCCTCCAGCAAGCCTCCTCTCAATATGTTCTGTCAAAAACAAAAAGTCAAACACTAATCCCCGGGTGCTGGGAAAGATGATCACTTCAGACATCCCCACATGTGGAATGTGGAAAGGAAATGCCACAGATTTTCCTTTCCAAACCTAGGCCCTCATGAGACTGGTAGAGGCACCCAGCTGCTCTCTAGACCTCAGTGATAATGATCAGCCAAGATACTGTAACTGAAACACGCTTCCTGACATGCTCATCAACCCCAGCTCTGCTCACAGATCCCTCCTGTACACTCTGATCCAAGTCATTCCTGAATTCAAACACTTAAAATGATGCATCTCAACTCCATTGAGTTACATTGGCCTTTGAATACCTCCAGTTTTGCTCACTGCAATCAGAACCTTGGGCTTAATGATTTTTCTTGACATCTATATAGCCCAGTACTTCTTGCCAAAGCTCTGATAATGTCTCTCCCAGTTCTCACTTGCTGGTTATGAGTAAGAAAACCCAACATGCCACCTACAGACTAATGTAACAGCATATTCCAAAAAGGAACAACTGATGTTCGTTATCTTCTTGTTACAAAAGTGAAAAAAAATGATCCAACAAATGACTCCTTGGCTGCCACAGTTCTGCTCCCTGTCATTCACTGAGCATACTCACATATGACCACCATTGCTGAATCAGAGCTTATTCACTCTTTTGTGGAGTAAGCTCAAGTTTACTCCCAATTCACAGAATTATAATGCAGGCCTGAACATAGTTTGAGATGCCCTGGAGTACCCCACGTGGTATCCAACCATTTCTCCATAGAAGTAGGTACCCCCAAGTCCTATCTCATATTTACCAGCATGTTGGGAATGTCTAGGTACCCCATGGTAACTCAAATCGCATCAGGTATATTTGAGAATATACCTGAAGTATACTACATACTCGCATACAAAGAAGTGAACTTTGTGAACCTGAATTAGACAACACAAAGAAAAGTTTAGTGACTCTCACTCTTTGAATTCTAGATTTAAACACCGTTCATTCCATTTTGACTTTAGTAATCACAACTAGATCAGGAGCACTGACATAAGATCTATCTTTTCTGTATATACTATTGCAAAGATGGTATGTCTAAAACAGATATGGTAGCTCTAGCTATAGTATTTATGAGAGATTGTCACCTCCAGAAGACATATTCCATATTTTTGAAACAATGTGTTACCATTACACTGGAGTTGGGAACTCTGTTCTCTACTACACTTCTAGATTTGGGGGACTGGTACTATTCAGCTGTACCTTTAGCCTTTACTGAGGCTATTCCTTTTGATACAACAGGTGCAACCAAAGTTAATTTTTACTTCAGTCCTGAATTCTAAATTCTGTTTCAATCAGAATTCTAAATTCTGATTGTCCACCGTAAGTCATTCACACCTGGACTTCAACAAATCCACAAATTTCCTCTGTATTGTGGTGGGACTCTTGGGGTTGCTTGTTCCAGGGACCATCATCATAGGCAATAGGGACAACACAGCCTCATTTGACTGCCTTCAGTTATCCATCACTATCCCAGTTAGTCTTACACATTCAGACACCCCTGTTCACATCATATTATAATGGTTGCAGCAACTCCTGCCGTTATTGTACAAAAGTATCACTCTAATGGACTGCAGTACAATCCTCACATGTTTTCAGCTAGTTTTTCATTTGAGTGAGGAGAATATCATTGAGTCCTCTGTGTGAGGTGAGGACAAAAGGCTGTGCAACAAGAATGCAGCAAAACTTTCTGAAGCAGTCCAGCTGCAAGGAGTATGAATACTTCGGTCTGGGGGCCATAAATCATATGCTACATGTCAGCAGGGATGCTACAGCTAGTGTTCCTAGCAAAATGAGCAGCAGGTGATGGCCTCCTTCCTGTCCCAGAACACATAGACCATGAATCTCAGGGAATGAGGTCTTCCAGACTAGGATGCTGGTAGGAGGGGTGGAATACATCTCTATAATGACAGTTCAGTGAACAAAATGAGACTGTCTGCCCTGTAGGTCCCAGATTTTTTGCATTTTTTGAAGTTGGGTGCAACATTTGCCTTTCCCCAGTCATCAAGGATTGCCCAGATTTCCATACCCCATCAAAAATAAATAACTGCAGCCTTGCAAGAATGCCAGTCAGTGCTACCAGTCATCTTATATGCACCCTGTTGAGCCCCATGGACTTGTCTGGGACAAGTTCTCTCAAAGCAGCCCCGACTTGATCCTTATTCACTGCTGATAGTTCTTGCTCGTCTTGAAATCTTTCACAGAGACCTGGGAGATCTTGTTTGTGAAGACAAAAAAAAAAAAAAAAAAAAAAAAGGGTATTGAGTACCTCAGTCTTCTCTGTGCCTGGTGTCCCACCACTCCATTTAGCAACAGTCCTACATTTTCTGTTTTTAGCATTTTTCTGATGTTTTGGTCACTTTTCTTAGTGCTTCAGTGCTCCAAAAAGCCCTTGCAAATCTCGGCTTGAGGTGAGATTTGGCTTTCTTGAAACAATCCCTGCATACCCAGACATTGTTTCTAAATCTATTTTTTTTTTAGCCTGTGCCTGTTTCCACCATCTGTCATCATCTGACGGACCCATTTGTTTTCCTGAGTCTTGCACTTGGGAGACGCTTTAAGAAGTTTCAGGTTTCCTGAAAAGCACTGTTTCAGCTACATATTACATATTAGAATGTAGATAGCTCTGTCTGTACTGGTTGTCTGGAAAGATGACTAGTGCTCTGAAGGTGCAGTGAGTTTAGGCAAAGCACTCAGAGTACCTGTAACATAAGGACCTAAGGATCTAGATACCCAAAGGTCTCTCAAGCACGTGTACAAGGCTTCCAGGTATTGCCTAAAGCCTTCAGAACACCAACTGGAAAGACAAACTTGAAAGATGCTGGATGACTCCTGTGTTTAGGAACATGTATTGCTCCCCTAAATTTAAGTGAGATTATTTCAGATGCAGTTGCTAAAATATGTCAAATCTCTTCAACATTTTTTGTTTGCTTGTTTTGCTTGTTTGTTTGTTTTTAATATAATTAAAAATAAATTCAATGTGTCATTTTCATTTTCTTGTCCAGAGGCTGACTGACATCATTTGGTGGCATCCATTCTAACAAACACTGTTAGTTTCCAAAACAGAGATGCACACCCAAGTGGCCTATTAAAAGTGGACTCTGGTACATGCTAAATTCTGAATTGGCCAGACAGTTTTCCTGCCCTAAAACCATGCCCAGAAGCACCATAGAGTATAATAGTATGGACTTTTGAGTGTCAGTGCCTGGGAATGAACAATTATTACTGTAGCAATAACTTCTGAGCAGAATCGGTTTTTGACCCTGGTCCTAGGCTATGTTATAAAGCCACTGGCGGAGAGAAGTCTATTTGCATAAGTGAAAATGTGGCCTTTTAATTGTAGTGGAAAAAAAAAGACAAGAGGAAAAAGCAAGGAATAAATGGAGTACCAGCAAAATTTATTTGAATCGCTTTGGCCTTCAGATGGCAGCAAAGGATTAGAGATGACGCAGAGAAGCACGTGTCAAGGGACTAGCAAAGGGCTGGAGAAGGATGTGACTTCAGAACAGCCAGACTGAGCAAAATAAAGATGGGAATAACAAAAGATAAAAAATATATAAATAAGGAAAGAGATTGATTCACTTATTTGTCTTATCTTTCCAAATGAGACTAATAGTAATGAACTATCACCTTAATTGATATTGTTTCCAGCATTTCTTCAAGAGATTCTTGGTTGTTTCCAAAGACTAGTGTGGCCAGCTCTTTTGAGATCATCTGGTCTCCCCAGACTCTGCAAACATTTGCTTCAGAATAGATCAGCTAGTTTCAACCTGGCTTTCTTACAGTCAGTATTCTTTTGCAGACCGAAAGAAGTTCTGAGAGAACTATCAACATGCTTTTGTCTCCAGATGAGCTGTTCAACCTCTAAGCTGGGGGGTGATACCTGCACCTCTGGAGAGTCTGGTGACATTTCAATACCAATGGTTATCTCATTTGGCTTGCAGCTACTATTCCAGAAGTGCACGTTTCCTCTAGAGGCACTGTCTTAACCTGCCAGAGCAGAGCAATCTACTTTATCATAAAGGATCACTGAAGTCCGGTATTTCAAAACAGAAATGTTCTTCAAATATATCTGTTTAGGAGGTAGTAACCTCAGAGTAGAGACTAGGAGCAAACAGTTTGGGATTATAAACTCCTGGCCTGCTCCGGCTGGTTTCCAGTGCTGCTGCCTGATTTTCCCAAAGACGGGGAAAAAAAAGACCCACACTCAAACTCAGTTAAGTTACTGAAGGACTAGTATACCCCTCCTTTGCTGGCATATTTTTCTTGCAAATGGAAAAAAAGAAATCTCACAACATGTATAAAGCACAAAGCATCTGAATTCACAAGCTTAAATTCAGTTACACAATTCTGATGCCACAAATGCATAACTATTCAGTCAACTGGAGGAGCTAGTCCAGCTCTCGACTGACTCAGGGAGCTGGAAAATGCCTTCACCACGCTCCTCTTTAATGCGTGCTTGACCTGGTTGTTCCTGAGGGAGTAGATGTATGGGTTAAGCATTTGAGTCACTATGCAAAAGAAGAAAGCAAAAACTTTGTCAGAATGCCATCCACCCCGGTGGGCTGGGCAGATATACCTGCAAATGGAGGTACTATAAAATATCATCACCACCATAAGATGAGCTGAGCAAGTGGAAAATGCTTTCTTCCTTCCTGTGGAAGATGGGATATGCAAGATGGTTACAATAATGCAGCCATAAGAAATAACAGTTACTATTAAGGCACTGAGTATGATGATAATTAATATGACCAGCATCAATTCCTCAATGAAACATGTATTCATACAGGACAACTGTAATAAAAAGGGGGTATCACAGTAAAAGTGGTTCATGACACTGGGACCACAAAATGGCAATTGGACAATCATAATGGTGGGAGGAAACATCACAAAGAAACTCACTACCCAGCAAGCCAAAATCAGCTTGAGGCAAAACCTGCTGTTTATAATGGCTAGGGAATGCAAAGGCTGGCAAATGGCAATATATTTATCAAAGGACATTGCTGCCATATGGAAAAATGTGCAGGTGCCCAAGCAGAAGAAAAACAGCATCTGAAGAAAACAACCGGGCAGGGAAATCATCTTTCTCTCTGTCAGAAGGCTTTCGAGAGTATTTGCGATGAACCTAGAGATGAAAGCAATTTCCAGAAGGGCAAAATTCCTGAGGAATTAGTACACTGGAGTCTGAAAGCACTTGCAAACCAGAGTGAGAGTGATGACAGTAATGTTTCCAAGCAGGATCAAGAAGTAGGCAGTCACAAGAAATATACAGAGGAAAATCTCCAAAGAGTGGCTGTTGGTTATACCTAGGAGGACAAATTGAACTACTCTTGGGTTGTTCATTGAGACTTTATGGCCAGCAAGAAAAAAAAAGCCTATTTTGATAATCAGTGGAAAAGACCATAAAAGCAAAATTCAGTCTGATTCTGATGACATTAAAGGGGTAGGCCGGTAATGAACCCCCATGAGAGACTGAAGCAGCCACAGGAATCACATACATTCAGTCTTCTTCATGTAAATACAGTCTCAAGCACAGAGTTCTCATTCCAGTTAGAATGCTTCATATGGGTTCTATATTCCATTAGTTGATAAAACAGTATGTGCAGAAAATGCCTAGGACCTTAGCATGAATAAATCTTTGAATGGAATGAAAATATTCGAACTCCACCAAATATAGAAAAAGCAAAATGCACATATGCCTACATTACTAAGTGCGCAAAGACGATAGATAAAAGATGGGAGAGAAGAGTGAAGTGAAGGATGGATAGACACTACAGAAAAAAAATGCATGGATAATAGCCTTGGCAAGACCGAATTTAAAGGGAGGGGGGGGAAAAATCTGTTTTTCCATTTACCCTCAGCTCTACAGCTCCACAAGATCAACTCTGAGGATGATGCTTATTCTTTCTTGCCCATTGAATATCTCTTGAAGTATTCTTCCATGCAAAAAAACCCAAAAATTTCAGAATAAAAATTTGACCAGTGGATGCCTATCAGTCCTTCTTCACTCTCATTACAAAAATTTATCTCCGTGAGCTGAGTAGAGATTTCCTTCTTGCAGATGATGACCCTTCCCTCTTGTTCTTTAACTGTGTGTTTCTGGGAAGTCTCCCAATCCTCCCCAAAACATCACATCCTAACGTTAAGAAGGGTACCCCAAATATTTACTAATATATCCTCAAAAGTTCAAGATTCTTCAGAAAGGAGTCTATGTCTGATCTTTAGAGAGGCAGTGGGTGCCACCCTCGTGTGTGTGCACACATGTGCCTGTTTTTTGTTTTTCTTTTTTTTTCGGAAGTGCCTGGCCTGGCCTAGGCCAGGGCTGCTGCTGGTGAAACAGAGCTGGACCGGGCTGCTCAGTACATCGCCCAAGGAAAGCTTGGATATATCCAAAATTCCACAAGCTCCCTGGGCATCTACCAGTGCTTCTCCACCCTCACTGTAAAAAAAATTATTTTTGTGGGCACAGTGGAGATTTCCTTGCTGCAGAACATGCCCCTTCCCTCTTGTTCTTTCACTGTGTGCTTCTGGAAAGTCTAGCTCTTCCTTATAGCATTTCATGCTGGTCACATTTCTCCAGATGCATCTAACAGCTGCAATGCCAAGCACCAAGAAATTTTCACTTCTCTGGATCCACTGAATACACTCTTGCTAATGTGGCCCAGCATTCAGTGAACCTTCACAGTCGCAAAGACAAACCATTCAGACGGCACAGTCCAGGGGAGAAGTCAGGTGGATTCATACAGGAATTCCTTACGTGATTTCCCTGTCGCCCCCCAACTACAGCAATCTTCCAGCACTAGAAATGTTTATACAAATTACAAGTGTTTATATAGGCACTTATACTCTAGCCCGTGATATGGAAAGACTCTTCTTCCTTTTCCATTATAAAACCATCAGTCTTGTCAACTGCCATACAGCGCTCTATATTTCCCTCATTTGGAATGGAAAAGAAAAGAGGGAGAGGAAGGAAGAACTAGAAGAAAGGGAAAGATGGAAAGAGGGGTGAGGAGAGAGCAGAGGAGAGGAGAGGAGAGGAGAGGAGGGGAGAGGACAGATGAGATGATACCTTAAGAAGCTCACGAGGTTTGAATGGACTTAATCTGAGGTTTCTGAATTATGCATAAGGATTCTTTTAGGCTAACGTGTAGGTAGGAAATGAGATGAAATGTTCAGAAGAAAAGTTCTGCATGTACTTGCTTTCCAGGGCACTTTGTGGATACATTCCCCATTTTTAATAAACGTGCTCAGAGCTAAAAAACCCATTCTTGTCCACACCGTCCCGTCACTTCACTTTCATTCTGCCCTGCAAATTT